CCCCAAAACCCCAAAACCCCGCACGATTTTTATTGGTACTTTCGCTTGATTATGAAATTAATGATATGCTATTTGCTTTTATTATACTTTTCAAATCAGTCATTGAAGAAAGTTACTTTCTAATTCCTTATCCTCTTAACTCACCTTTACTTAATGGATGTATTCAGAATTAGTCATAAACATGAACTCAGTTTCTTAAAATTCTGAAGGGTGATAGGAATTAAGTAGTCTGAGTTAGAATTCTGATGTTTTATCTCTTATAACTAGGTGAGTATATTCACTACTATTGTAGATAAAGGCCATATCCATTGTGGGGAAAGCAGAATTGTACTTGCCATTTTAGGTCAGAGGATTATCATACAAACTAAGCATGGCGTAAGCTTAGTCTCCTTCCTTAGTTTTATCATTATTCAAATTGTGTAAGAACTCTGACTCATTGACAACTTTGTTGTTCTTATCCAAGTTACCAGGGTAAAATCCATTCAATTTATTGCAGCCAAAGAAGTTGTCATAGTAGAATGATTATTAGCACCTTAAAACTCCATAGTTAACTCCTGCTATTCCAATGTAGGTCCTTACATTCTTATTAATTGGCTTCAAGCTGATGTAGCCAATGTCTTTCAATAGATATTTACCACCCTTAATTGCTGCTCTTGAAAGAGTAACTCCCATTGAATGTGAAATAACATCAATCTTTGGTGCACCTGTGTAATCTAGCACAGCTTCCATGAATTTTCGAATAGCTAATACATATTCAGTATCTTGCTTTAGGTTATACTCATATGGGATGTCAGCGTAACCCCACATTGAGCCATATATTTCAGCTTTGGTATAACCATTTTAGAGGAAATACTCGATGTCATATCTGAAACCATCATTTTCCCATCCATAACCAATGAGCATATCAGCTGCTCCATGAACAAAGACAACTGGAACTTTATTGATTGGAGAAGAATCATTTTCTTTTCCTCCAAATGATCCTCCGAAGAACTAGGTCCTGTTAAAATTGTAAGTGTAATAGTCCTTATTTGTATCTAAAAATCTAATGAAATGATCTGTCAAGCCTCTCTTGTATGTTGAATTTTGTGAGTGTATTGTAGCAGCTAATATGGATATTAAGGCAAGAGAGATAAGTGATTTCATCGTAATTTTAAAGTATAATTAAATAATAAGTTGAGGATTTACAAGTCTGAGCAAAATAACGCAATATTTATTCGATTTACATTAAACATAACTCTAAAAAATTAAAATCTCTCTATTTCACCAATTTCAACCTATTGGGGTTTTGGGGTTTTGGGGTTTTGGGG